GATTAACAATAATTTAATGCATATAAATATATATATAGATTTTTTACCTTTGTACAAATTAATATATTCATCAGGTGCACTAAGAATAGGTTCCTCATGAATGCCTTGAGAAATATGAAGATGTAAAGTACGTTGTTGATCTTGATCCAGATTACTAAAAGGTGGTTGGTTACTACTCAATTCCCATAATAAAACACCCGCACTGTATACATCTGATTTTTTGTTTGGTTTATATACTTTATTATTGTTAATCTTGAAACATTGTGGGTCAATATAAGGTACTATTCCTACTACTTGGAATGTTGAAGTGGTTGTAGATTCACGTATTTTATGGGAAAGTCCAAAATCTACCAATTTTATTGTTTTTTGGTGAACCAAGATATTATTTGAATGCCTTTCAAAAAATATAAACATTATTAAATATAAAATTTTTTTTAAAATAATAAATTTATATATGTATATAATATGTAATTATTTAATTACCAAATCTCGATGGATAATATTGTTTTTATGTAAACATGAAACAGCTGATGCAATCTCAGATGCAAATATCAGCTTTAGATCCCAACTGATTGATTCATCCTTTTTTTGTAGGTAGCTTCTTAGTGTTCCACTATCTGCATACTCAAGGACCAATAAATATTCCTCTTTGTCTTTATCTATAAATATAAATATTAGTTAATGGAAGAAAGTCAAAACAGGAAACAATTTAAACATACCTTTAATCTTAGTGACACCATAAAAACGAATAATATTTTGATGGTAATCGACTTTATGTAATAATTTCAACTAATTGGGCCAATTACTATTGTTAGTTGAATTTTTTTTTTTTAATCTATATCCAAAAATATATTGAAATTTACCTCATTAGTAACTTCTTTCATATTTGTTATACCATATTTATAGGATTTCAAGGCAAAAGTACTATTGTTATATATTGCTTTATAAACTTCTCCAGAACCACCTGAACCAATTTTTTGGGTATTTTTAAAGTCACTATATTCATAAGAATTAATGTGTCCATCCCGAACTGCCTCATTGAGCCATTCTAACCAATTATCCTTAACAATTACTTCTTTTTCATTGATTATTTTAGAGCTCTTGGAATTGGATACAGGAATCTGATTATTGTTGTCATTAATTGTAATTAACTGATCATTCTTATTATCATTAACATTATCACTATTACTATTATTATTATTATCAAGGATGTCTTTATGACTAGTATTTACTACAGCTTTAGTATTACTATCACTGTTGTTGCTATTATCATTGTTTGAAGTGATTTCAATATTACTAGTATTAAATTCATTTTTATTTTTATTTTCATTTTCATTATGAGTTTGTTGATTTAATTTTCTGTCTTTTTCATCATCACTAACAACAACATTATTAACCATTTCATTGGATTTCTTTTTTCTTCTATATAAGATATGAATAGAAATAAAAGCAATGATGAAGATTGTAACTGATCCAATAATTATACCAGTAGTTTGTTGATCAGCAGTAACACTAGTGGTGGTTTTAGCTGTTGAAGGATTAGCACTGGTGGTAGTTGGTTCACTAATAGTGCTATTAATGATTTTAGGATCAAATGTGTCCAGCCATCTATAATTATATTTGTCACTAATATTTAATAGTACAATATTTTGATAATTACTAACACTGAAAGTGTAACCTATTATTATTATTATTAAATATAAATATAATTAATATAAATAAATAATATATTTATGTATGAATTTCAAAGATTATTATCATATGTAACCAAATGAAATTATCATGTAATTTTTATATAAATTTGAAGTATGATAACTATGTTGTTTATAAATTAGATTAGCAGGATAATTAGTAATGTTTGTTGGAACTGTCCATTGGAAAGGAGATTTTGTTACATCTAATATTGCTAATTTATCTGATTTTTCAGTACCACCATACACAATTATCCCTCCATCAGATGCTAAAACAAATAAATATAAATTAAAAAAATATATTTAATTAAATAATTAAGAATAAAATTAATTAATTTACTTGATACTGAAGAATGTCCATATTGTCTAGAAGGTATATCACCAATAGTTGTCTAGTATAATCAAATATTTATCAATATCTTTTTAATTGGAAATATTATTACTGATGATTATATAACTTACAATATTAGACCATGAATTTTGATTAAGCAGGTTTCTCGCCGATTGTCTCCTTTTGCGTTTAGCCGCGCTTGGTTTTTTTGGCTTTTGGCGCGATCAACGTTTCACCATATTTAGCAAAAATTGTGTTGTACGGCAAATGGTTCGTTTCTTATTATTGTTAGATTCAATTGCGTGCACGCAATGCTTTGCAAGGAGGAGAGGCGTGATCAATGAACCAGCCAAGTTCTATGTTTTTCAAACCTAATTTTTTGTGAAGGAATTTTTTGTTTTTGCTGGGTGGCAAATTTCAAAAAAAATTATTTTTCTGAAATCGATCTTTTTTCTTTTCTTTAAAATACCTTTTTTCCACGTGATGGACGTTTATCATGCAATAGTAATAATTTCTTTTTCCAACCGAAGAGCTATTTAATTTCTACAATTGAATTCATTGTTACTTTATTTTATCATATATGCTACTAAGAATAACTTTTTGATGGTGGCGAAGCATCTTTCTTTTTTCGTTTAATATTTAGTCAGTGTGATGAAGATCATACTGTTGATTTGTTTATAAGAAAAGCATCACTATTATTGTCATTTTGACCTGTTTTTTTTGGTTTGTGCCATTGATTTTGTTATGCATTTAGTTTGTTAATTGACAATTGAATTAATTATTAAAAATGCTAAAAATCATTTTACAATTTATGAATTATCATTTGTCCTGTTTATTTTTTGGATTATGCCATTGATTTAGAAAAGTATTATGCGTTTAATTATTTGTTTATTGCTAAAAATGCTAGAAAACATTCTTTACTATTATTATCATATGTCCTGTTTTTTTTTGGATCATTGATTCATTTACTTTTAAGAAAAACATTGTGCATTTACAATTGAATTGATTATTTGTTTATTATTAAAAATACTTTGATCACGTCTACATGTTTATTTTGCAAAGCTGGATTGCAAGCTTCGTAAATCTTGACCTTAACACTTACTTCAATCAAACCCGCCTATATGATTATTTGATAATTGATAAGTGTTCATTAAATATATCATTAAATATATTTTACAAACAGATGCATAGATATCGATTTTAACACTTATTTTAATCACTCCTATACAAAAAATTGAATAATTGATAAAACATTCATTTGCAAAACTTGATTTGCAAACTTCTTAGATCTTGTATTTAATACTTATTTTGATTGCGCCTATACAAACTATTAAATAATTGACAAATGTTCATCGGTATATTTTACAAACTTTCTTTGGAAGCTTTGTATGTTGTCATACATCTTGTATTTCACAGTTACTTCCACAAACTCGCAACCTATCGTCAGCTCTACTTTTTCCATTGAATTATTTTGAATTTTTATTTTTTTAGATTACAATAAAAATTATAGAATAGAATTTGTCCAATGAAATGTTGTAAACTGTATAAATCCCATGCATAACTTGAAAAAAGTTGGTATATAAGACTCATTTTTCCATTACTAGTACTCGTCTCTGGTACAACCATGTAACTCACTTAAATGTGTTATTAAAGTCCAGCAGTGAGATAGTGAAACTCTTGCTGGTGGCTCATGCTGGGTGGGTGTATTGACCTTTCGTGACATGATCTCTCTCTTTTGTTAATTTTTATTTTAGATAAAATTCATTAATTGAATTGATAGGTTACATTTGTAATATGAGAAAGCATTATTATTATAGCAACAAGTAGCAAACAACAATGATCATATTTTTTGAGGATGATAATAAAGATTAAGATATGGTTTTGTTTCATGAAAATATTTTCAAAAAAAAAAAAAAGAGAAGATGGCTGTCCTATTTGTATGTTTTGAATTTCTTGGTCTTAATGATGTCATTTTTTTGCTTTTTGTGGCAAAGGAGATGAAATCCAAGCCAACTTAAAATAAATGAATTTTTGTTCTCGCGTAGCAAAAGCTTGCGTTGCGACCTCAGTTGTAAGCTTGTTTATTAACAATTATTAATAAAGGTGTGAAAAAAAATTCTAATTTTGGAATAGAACATTTTTTGTTCAATATAAATATTTCAAAAATCTTGACAAATGTTATTATTTTAACATTAAGTTAAGTTTGGATGGAAGGTCTGTGTGCATTTCATTATGAAAAACCTTGTCAATCTTGACTAAAGA